CCCCAAAACCCCAAAACCCCAAAACCCCAAAACCCCAAAACCCCAAAACCCCGTTAATTTTGAAATTATTGAATTTTAAATCAAAAATATATCTGATCATTGGCCTAGCATAAGGAAAATTTGAAATTATGAAAGTGCTGTAAGATCAGATCTGAACGCCTCTAGTTTGAGTACCCAACGTGTTCTTTAATTGCTCGGTCATCATCATCGTTATCGTACATGTCTCCCATTTTAAGGTGCTCCTTGAGAGAAATTGTCAAGTCCTTCAACCTGACATAACATGTCTTGGTAATCTCATCGTGATCGGACTCGATGTCGTTATCAAATTCGTACTCAAAGAGCTTCTTCTTTAACAAATTGTTCACATCTGGGAAGTCAAGTTGGTCTAAAGAGTATAGATTAAAATTTTCTGTCTTTCTCTTATATCTAGAGTGTTGGTACTTCAACTTCAAAAATCTGGCATCTATTCTATCTCTGGTACGTTCCTTCTTTTTATAGTTATCAGCTCTGGCTGTCTGGAAGCCCTTGATCCTCTTCATCATGCAGTGTCTGATAGCATCACCTGTTTCTTGACTCTCTATAGGAACATCTATAATCTTATGTGCAAGATTTCTCTGAAGCTTGGCTGTCTTCTGTAGGATCTTACTCACTGATTTTCTGTTATTGAATTTCTTAAAGATTAAGGCCTCTAGGCTCTTCGTTGCGGTATCTGGCTTATACTCAAGGCTCCTCTTGGATGTTCTGGTCTGAGGAATTCTGAATATGTCCTTCTGCTTGTGAATCTTGTCAATGAGTGATTTTGAGATTTTATTTTCCTTGCTCTCTTCTGCTTCCTTTTCCCTCGCTTTTTGAGTCCTTTTTCTGAAATTGAAGATGAATGACAATTTATCCGGGGGAAGCATGTTCTTTGACCTTGGATTCTTGATTGCAGTTTCATTCAAAGAGATTCACCCAATGGTGTGGTTATCACTGCTGCTCGACAACAGGGGCTTCTCTTGTGATGTGGTATCTTCGTAGTCATCAAGGGCACTAGCCTCAGACTCACTGAGATCAACCATGATCTCAGTTACTCACATAATTTTCTTGGGGAGAGGCTTCTTATCCTTTTTAATTGGTCCTCAATTCTCTGTGGAGTAGTCATTTTGGTCTCTGAACTTGACAGTCCTCCTTCCTTGGTAGTTGGTTGGGGCTTTCTTGAGCTTAGAGGGAGGTAAATATCTAGCCTTGTTCTTAGGGTCTTTTTCAGCAATAAATGAAGGGAAAGGACTTTTGGTAATGGGGCTTACATCAAATTTGAATTTTCTCTTCATCTCTATATCGGATTCAAGCTCTGGCTTCTCCTCCTATACAAGGAACTATAAACCCCAGTGTGTGAGGCTTGAACTTACCCTTCTAGAATTAATCTGTCTTTTAGAAGAGACGGCCTTTGCCTCTATCTTGCTATCTAATGGGCCCATTGAAGAGTTATTAGCATGATTCTCTTTGTCTTCACTTATTTCAAATTTATTCTTTCTCTTAGAATAGTTTCTCCTCTGGTGGAGATAGTTAAGCTGTTCCCTAATTTCTTCAAACCCCATTTCAGTTAATATTTTAATAGATGATGTAGTTGTTATAATTATTAAAACTTGCAATGATTTGGCCCTAAAATGGGGTTTTGGGGTTTTGGGGTTTTGGGGTTTTGGGG